AACTGCCGGGTCAAAATGTTAAGTTGATTGTAATGTGATGGGTTTAAGTCAGGGTAAAGCTCGGAATTAATGGAAGTCTATGAATTAAGAGTGGCTATCAGAGATGAAGCAGGCTTTGAAGAAAAATCTCTCAATATTTATTATGTAGCCAGATATTTATTCAATGTTGTTTTTTATTTGAGGAAGGGGGTGGGTGGGTGGGGGGGGCTCGGCAGGCATCAGAAATAAAAGAAAACATCAAAAAATTATTTGATTTTGTGTTAAAATCTCATGCCTCTCAGTAGCAAAGTGATTAGCCGAGGATCTGGTATATATATACATGTATATTCATATCACTACCTGACAGTACTCAGCCTACACCAGGTTATGGTAATTTACATATAGATATATTTCTGAACACATGCTCCATCACTTGGGCCTGGCTGTGGTATGTTTAGAGTATAATTAACCTGGGGTTAATGGTGATGTTTCAGCTGGTCTGCTGTGTGGGGTGTGTGTGTACTGAACCAGGCTGTGACCCCGTTATATCTGTTTGGTACATGAAGCTGGTTTTTTAAGACCCCATTTCCATACCTAGATGCATCTACTAGTAGCAGGATCGACCCATCTCCCAGGCTACTGAAGCTGTTAAGGGGTAATTAACTATCTTTCAGCAACTTCAGAAGTGTGCAAGACATTAGAGCTGCTTAATCTGAATATAATTTAGCCAGAATCCCCTCAAAGATAGATCGATCCTGCTAGATTGATCTAGGTATGGGAATGGGGTCTAAGGGACTGTTCACAATGAGTTTAATCAACCTAGCTAATGTGCACTTACTCTATGGGGACTCTTGCTGAATGCAGTCAGAATAACACGTTGCCTTCTGGTGTTGAGTAAAATACAAATATGTTGGTGAGTATACAGGTATACTGGAAACAGAAGGAGGCATGTTAGTCTGTTTATGTGATAGCATTCAGCAAGAATCCCTGTGGAGTAACAGTGCAGTTCTCACTAATTTGAACTTTCCCTTCGTAACACACTTTGTAGACAGAAGGGCTAGCTGTGTACAGGAATACCAGAAATGGGCAGTGTATCATGCGATGTCATCTTCTGTTATGTTGGTGTATTGTTGGAGTTTATTGAACTGAAGTTCTGGCACTGGTTTCTCTCCTTTATGTCCCGGCTATAACCTTGTGTGGTATTCCATCCTTGCTCAGCTCTCTCTCTCTCCCTCTCTACCCCTCCCCCTCTCTCTCTCTCTCTCTCTCTCTCTCTCAATTTATATAGATATCACGGCGGGATTGGGGATCAGATCCACCGCGACGGGATTGGGGATCAGATCCACCGCGACATAGGTCCAAGAATAAATCAACACAACTTAGTATGTACTTCAGGTTTATTCCTGGTCAAGAGCTGGGACCTCCAGTCAGCTTGTTCAGCTGTCTGGTGTAGCCAAGTCCAGTCTCCCTCTCTCAGAGAATACATGCAAGTTATATAGCCTATCTGAACAAAGGACAATAAACAATGAACTTAATTACAGGTAGGAGATGACTTATGATTAAATTATAATTTATGAGTGTGGTCGGAGACATCTGGCTAGGTTACAGAGAGGCCCTTGACTGACCATCTCCTTTGAAGTTAAATGATATATCTGACCCATTAAATGTATATGACCCATTATTTTTTTTATAATAACAGTTGTGATAGATCTCCCTTGGTTAACAAAATTTGTGCCTCAAATTTTAAAATCAAGCAATATTTAAATCATATATCTAATTCAGTATCATGTACTCAAACATAGTTTGTAGAACTTAGTCCGAACTTAATGCAACAAAAATTACATATGCAAATGTTACACTTTACTCACTACATGTGCTGCAATACATTTTCCTCTTACAACATGAAATTAAAATGTGTCTGTCTCCCTATAGGATCAGTTGCAGGCAGTAACATTGTAGCCTTGCAGACTTAAACCTCTTTCTGCATTACCCCTTCTATTGGTATACTACATGTGCCCTTACATTTGCCTGTCAACAAACAGTACTTCAACACCAACATATCTACTTATCCTTTCAAACAAAATATGTCACTCTAAAACACGTTGTAGATAACAGCAGTCATATTCATGGAACAATGTAAGTTTACATTTTCATAAAAATTATTACATAAGTTCTTAGACTAGTCTATCTTAAACAAGTTAAATTTACACAGATACAAAACATATCAACATTTTAGTGCAAAAGTTGAGCATAGACAAACAATATAATTAAAAATACAATATGAGTAAGAAGTTATTACAGTTATAACTAAGTATGTCCATGCTCTCACCTGTGTGGCTCGAAGGCAGAGAATAGGAGAAATAAAGGCTTGACCATCTTCTCAACTAGAGCCAGCTAGAAAGAATAGTCCTACAGGTCAAAAGAGAAGATTTAAGAAAAGAGAGACCACACCAGGTTTAAACAAGAACTTACCAGTTTCTCATTTTAAACAAGCCCAGATTTAATAATTGTTATAAAAATG